TGTCCGGGAGAGACGGCGATTCGAATCGATTTCAACCAGCTGAGAATTTATTCCTTACACAAACCCAGGCAGACCAGATCAACGGTCACCTTAGGTCACTTTTGGTATAACTCAGGTCCACATTTCGTGGGTTCGATCAGCGCTACATAATCAAGAACGACCAGCTACCAGGACGTTTAGGCATGCCCTACCCTTGGGCTCATGTCTGGCTCCCCACACATCCTTACTACCATCCAAAGTGTGCACTCTTACAGAACGGGACCTGACCTGAGTTAAGCTACTCGGCTTCACAGTCGGAATGAGTTATCCAGCTAGCTAAGTGAGAGGCATGCGTTCAATCTCGACAAAAGTGCCAACAACAGTACGGTCCTTAATCGACACAAACGGAATTACATGAGTCAACCTACGTATAGACTCCGCCCGGCCTCCAGTTACATTACCCCATGGTGCTGTTCCACGATAGCAAATATAGCCAACCATGCTTCGGTATCCACCTATATCTCGTAGATGATAGGAAATCACTTGACTTCTACCGGTCTAAGTATGGCTCAGCATATATATATATATATATGGACAAGGTGGTGCTATGCATCAAGTGTTTTCAATTAACTCTTATAACCTAATGCATCAAACATAAAAGACTCAAGTGATATTTTATAAAACATGGGAGACTTAGAATGCTCCAGGGCTTGCCTTTGATAAAGGAAGTTGGCCTGTGATCCAGGCACTCGGGTAAGTCTTTAAGAGTTTGCTCCTCTCCTTCTGGAGCTACGGCCTGAGGTGCCTCCTATTGTTCCTCCGGCTCTTCTTTGAACTCCAACAGAGTTATCCCTTCGGACGATCCTATATGCATGAGCATGAAATAAGATATTATGGATGCATATATAATGACATGTATGATATTATATGGTGTGATGAAATGCATCCGCATAAGTGTTCTCAACAGCATTGCATTAAAGTGATAACAACATAAATTTTCTTTTACTAAGTAGGTACATATCTCTTCTCTAATAACTAAACAATCACTTATGTAGATCATTATCTAGACTACAAGACAATAGCCACTTGTTTTGATCATAACTAGAGTTATACACATCTAAATAATATGGTTGTGGACTTTATGGAAAGCTTATGAAATTTCCTACAACTTTCTTTTAATCATCTTAATGTGATTCAGCAGTTATCTAGGTCAAATAATTCAATCTTTTAGATCTATCCAGAGAGCAAGCATTTCTGATAGCAGAATTCTAACAGCCATAATTCCTAAACCATAAGGCCTATGACTATGATAATTTAACACAAGGTAGATAAGTAAGTTATCTAGAACTTTGTTATTAACAAGTTTTACAGAAAGGATCATTATTATCATGGAATCATTACCGCAACAGAAACTACACATACAGCCATCTAGTTGAATTATAAAGCAATAATTAACTAGTTGCCTATAAACAAATACTTCTAATCCTAACTAATAACATCAACAGGTTATATGCATCACAAACACCACAGAAAACATCATGGTTAAGCCTAACTAATTTATTTATAGTCCTTTATTAATTTCCTTAGATAATAAGGTGATTTATAGGATAAATATTTCCGATACTCAATAAATTCAGAGAAAATTTCTAGTGTTCCTATTAGTTTACTATACAAATTTTATGCCATTTGGATTAATATAGCTACCTCTACCAAAAATGACAAGTTACATATGCTTATTTTAGCAAAAATAGTTTAGCATAGTGAAAAGTGTCGAGCAACAGATTTAATATTTTTCTTACTTTCCTCCTAGCATGATAATATTGTGTAAAAATTTGTATGATCATATGTTATGTATTTTTACCCCAATTAATTTCACTAGAATCTAGCAATTAATTAAGATTAAATAGGAACACTATATTTCAAGTATGCTTATTGTAGGTTTAATATTTTTCCTAGCTAGAGCATGTCAACACAAGACCAGCAAAATTAGAATCACAGTTTTATCACTTTCCTAGCTCAAGTTATGCATTTTACAAGATATAAACTACTTTAAAAGCACTTATCTTGCTCAATTTAATTCTCTTCGAAAAATACCCTAAACAGTATATTTAATATTTTTATCAAATAGTATACTTCAAGATGAATCGAATAAAATTTGGTTCACCTCATTTGGATACTCCTAGCTCAAGATATAATTTTTGCAAGTTTACTACAAAATAAGTGAAAACAAATAAACAAAATTAAATTTCTAACCGGGCGCTATAGCTAGGTGCACCTGGTCTATACACCCACGGTGGCTAACACCTGGTCTATGCCCCATGCGCTAGTGAGACAGATCAAGCACCGACTTGACCAGTGAAAAGCTCACCAACGACGAGGTCACCACCGACGTGTTCCCCTACTCATTCCGCATCTACGGGTGCCCTCGGTTGGCTCAGAGGCTTGTCGGAGCTAGCTCTATGGCGGCCATTGCAGATGGCGGTGCTGCACGGCGGCGCACTAGCCATCTCTAGCCATGGCAAGCTCAGACGGGCTCGGCTACACCTCTACTGGGATCTAGCGGAGACCTAAGGTTAGGTTAGGGTGACGATGGAGCAGCGGTGAAGCTTGGCTACGTGCATGGCATGGCGGCGGCGAGAGCGTGGCGGTGAGCAGCTTTGTTCCAGCACCAACACACCAGCATTGGCTCGACTACCAGTGGCGTGAGCTAGACGTGACCCTATGCTAACCCTAACGATAGAAAGGCATGAGCGAGACTGCTCGGTGGAGCACGGCCATGGCGAGCACAAGCTCGGCGGTGCTTCGGTGATGGCCGCGGCGATGGCTACTCGAACCACGTCCTCACCTGAGCTTGGAGGCGGCAAGGGTGAGTCAGCTGGGTGGAGCAGGGTACGGCGGAGTTGTGGGTGCGAGGAATCAAACAATGGCAAGGCAGCGGTGGCGTGCGAGCTCGGCGGAGCTCAGGGGCAACGATGGCTGCGCTGCGGTTTCGCTCGGGCGCGGCGAGGGCGAGAGAGAGGCAGAGCGAGGCTAGTGAGAGCAAGTGAGGAGGGAGGACGCGTCGCTGTCGTTTTGCTACCCGCGTTAGCCAGACTGGTGGGACCGTCACCGGCTTACGACCACCAGGTGGCGGCCACAGCCTATGCATGATGGGCCATGACGGTCGGTGTCGAAATTGGCTAAGTGTTGATTCAGTTGACTGAACCCGCGATCTTTGAGCCCCTAAATCTCCTAATCCGTAGTGAATTTGTGAAAACTTCATTAATACGAAGTGTAGAGTTATTTGAGTACTACAAGATTGCTTAAAGCAATTTTGTCTAAATCGCAATGGTTTTTAAACTACAATGCTCCAAAGTAGGCTACATTGAAACTAAAATTCAGTTAAAGACAGCAAAATTTCAAGTTTTGAAAATAGCATTTTGTTGATACTTGTGAGCTCTATTATACCATGTTAGACACTAATTTAGCTCATGACCCTTAAATAAAGTTTGTTACCCATGATGTGAACTACAACTTTTGTTTAGGTCACACAGCCATGCAAACACTCTAAGCTAATGTTCAACTTTGGTCAAACTAGCATCATGAAAATGGCATTTCTAAGTAAACCAATACTTAGGAGCAAAATTGGTTCATGTCATAAATACAAAAATTGTTCCATTTACCATCCTAGATGTGTCTAAGGTGTTTTCATGACCTCACAACCATTTCATACATTGGTCATACATGATTACAAGCATAATTAAGTATGTGAGCAACATCACATGTGATAAAGAGAAGGTCTCATGAATGCTTGGATGATGTTTGTGCTCATGAAATGCAAGTGCCAAATGTAATGCTTAACACTAGGGTGTTACAAGAGTGGACTAGTGGAGGGAGCCAGAGAGTGGAGGGAGGAAGGGTGGAGTCGCGGGGGTTGAGACTCGCTCGGCTGCGGACGCCGCTGAGAGAGAGATGGCTGAGAGAGAGAGCAAGTGGAGGAGAAGAAAACACTAAGTCCTGAATATATAGAGGGCTAGTTATTTACCGAGGCGGTTATGTTACAATGTCCGCCTCGGTTAATACTTATTAACCTAGGCGGTTATTTTACAATGCCCGCCTCGGTCCTGGTTGCCCTGCCTCGAATAACCAAGGCGGGCAACCGGGCCACCCGCCTCCGAGGCCATTTTGGAAACGCTGGGCAAAAGATTTTATGTAGTAGTGGCATCCTTATTATTGTCAGTCTGTGGTTACTGCCATGTGATGATTGAGGAAGCAGTGATATGTGCCTTCATTTGCCGAGTGAATAGCTTTTCCTGAATTTTCTAGATCCTAGATTTACGACCCGGTTGTGATAAGCATTCACTGTTGGCTCCAGCACAACCAACAGTAATGATCCGACAGGAATTCCATGTTCTGGCATGGTGCTTTATTCCTATGTTGATAAGATATCTAGTGTAAAGGAACCATTATTTTTTAGCGAGTAAAAAAAGATATATCTTCCTACTAAACATCTTCCTTGCACCATCAAATATTTTGCCGTACCTTCTTGGCAAATATGGATCCTATGCACACATACATATTGGCCAAGCAAATGGAAGTTTCGCGGAATACGCCTTGAGGCCTTGACTATTTAAAGTTCAGAATCTAAGACTAGTTGGATAGAGAGCTTCCCGTGATCCCGTCATGCGTTTTCCTAACACCGCATAAAATCAACGCCGCTCTGAACATTTTGATGGAGCTAGCGCAGTTTCTTCTTAACTATGATTGGAGGCTCGCCCACTGTGACGTTTTCGTGTCACTGTTACTTGTTGTAAACATCGGCATTTTAGCCAGGTAATGCGTCGCTGAATCCGCCTCGTCAGCTAGCGCTCAGCGTCGACTTAAACAATAATGGAACAACGGAAGCCAAATCTTGCACATCCACTGATAATATAAATATGGATCGGAGGTAGACAATGTAGCCTAGTAATAAGTAGACTAGCTGCTCCTAGCAAGAGACGTTTCACTGTTTGATCGGCCGGATCGATCCCGAGGTTGGCATCATGCCAAGAGAGCCGTGGCAACGTGCCCACGGGCACGGCAGCCTTGGTCCGCGCCACCACCGTTCCACATCGGGCCTGCGTCGCGGGTTGTTCCGGCCACGCGAGGGCGAGGAGGATGGCGGGGAGAGTCACCGAGATGATCGCGTCCGGGGAGGGCGGCTTGGCCTCACCGCGGGCTCCCAGTTCCCCAGCGACATGGAGGGCCGTGTCCATGGGGGCTATCCTTCTCGCCGGTACTACCTCCCCGCCGCCGGTGATTCTTGTGTTCGTGGAGGCTATCCAGCTTCTACCCGGTACCTCACCGTCGGTGACTCGTCCCGGCCATCGATGGCATCGCGCGCAAGGTTATTCTTTCTATATATAAATATAACCAGCGCACTCAAGTTTGGAGAGAAACGGATATATCTGCCAACCATTCAACCAAGTATATATTTGTATATGTATATATATGTGCAGGGAGAAAGCTGATAGCTTAGAGCGTGAGCTTCACAGCATCGAGAGATCCATCGTCATCCCGATATGCCTGAACCCCGAGTCCAGGGAGTTCTTCCCGGACAGGGACAGGGGCACCGCGCAGCGCCTCGACAGGTACCTCGCTGCTGCGAAGCGGCTGGAGCGGTTGGACACGTCAGGGGACATCGATCAGCGCAAGAAGAGCCTCCTCGAGACGGTCATGTCCTGCCTCGCGGACGAGTTCTGCCACCTCAAGGTGTGGAGGCTGGACGACGCTACGGCGAGGGATCACTCGCCGGCCTCCCTCTGGGATTCCGCCAGGCGCAGCCGCAGTGGTTCCCAGGACTCTGCCCGGATGATGAGCTCCTCGTCCTCTGGGTCCTTCACCACCGGCAGCGGCGGCACAAGCGATGCGAGCTATGGCTCGTACCACAGGGGCCTAGGTGAAGAACCGTCGGTCCAAAGTCACAGCACGTTCGCCGCTGGAATGATTTATGTCGACCGTAGGTCATTGTCGATCCTCCGTGATATTGCGAGCGTCATGATTGGGAGCGGATATGAATATATTCTACGAGGAGCTTTTGATCGACACGGCGCTCAACTTGCAAGGTAATTAATGTGTGCCTGGGTGTCGCTTGATCTCACTCCAGTTTAATTTGATGTTCTCCATATTTCTTGAAACCTCAACTAATTAATTAATATTTCTAACTACTCGGAAAGCTGAAGTAAGGGGGAAATGAACCTTAAAAAAAGGTAAAGCAATGATATGGATGCAGAAACCATCTCGTGGAAAGATTCCGAGCTGGAATGGTTAGCTAATTTGTATATGCTTGATTAAGCTGGAATGATTACTAGCCCCATTCTAAGATAACCGAACGAGGCCTAAAGTGTTTCCGTCACGGTCAGACCAAATAATATCTTCCTTTTTTGTATACTTTGTCCAAAGAAAATTTTCATGTGCGGCAGTACGTTGCACTTTCAAGAAGAGCGATTGGTCGTGCGCGGAGTAGAAGCAAACATGGCAGAGTTGTTTGGAGGGTGCAGTGAGTATTTAGTTTGGAGAAGCAAGAACTAATGAGGAGGAAGGTTGGGAGAATTCCAACTTAACATGGGAGCAAACAATTTACTACCGAAAGGCAGTTTGTTTGTCTCGTAGATGATACTGTATATAGATAAGGACATGTTAGTCGTAATCAGGTTCCTTGAGACAAGCCTACCAAATTCAATATATAGATAATACCATGTTACTAAGAGTCTGATACTGACAATTAACCTTGTTTTCACCTATATCCAACAGGTACATTGAAATACTTGACATTGACAACATTTTTGGATATCAAATGGAAGAATCAAGAGAAATTCTACTGAAAGTCTGGACATCCGCAGTGCACATTATCATTAGTTTTCTGAATGAGATGCAAAGACAATTGGATGCACATGATTTTGGTTCCTTCGATAAAATCAAGGAGGAATATTTCTTGGCAATTGCAAAGGTAACTGTCATGAAGTTGCTTGACTCAGCTAATTATATCAGTTTTCAGGTGGACCCACCAACTGACCAGTCATGCAAGAACAGTTATGGGGCAGCTAAACGTAACCTATCCAAAATGGTAGATGTTGTGATGGTGTACCAAGCACTGGATCATGGTTTGCCAACAATCTTATCACTGCTTTCGGGGAAAACTAAGGAGCTCGTTGTTGCAAAGGGTGCAGAGCTTATCAAGAGACTGTCAGATATGTTTGCCAAATTATCTGATGAACTAAACAATACTGTCAGATCACAATATTTGTTCATCACTGATACTGGTGTCCATCGTTTTACGAAGCATGTCATGGATCATATACGATTGCTAGTTCAACATAAGAGGACAATCTATCCAATGCTAGAGGGTGGTCTAGAATCATTTGGTGAACTGGTGACACGGCTGATCTGGTCTTTGGAGTTCATGTTGAACGTGAATTCCAGGAGTTTGCAACTACAAGGGCAGGAGCAGATATTCCTTTTAAACAATGTGCACTTCATGCTCGAGGAAGCCGAGAAGAATATAGAGTTGGTACTGATCCTAAGAGAAAGCTGGTTCTTACGGTGCCAGGACCAAATCGACCAGTTCATTGCAGGCTATGTGGACGTGTCTTGGACACCGGTTATGTCCTCACTTGAGAGGAAAACTCGGTTCTCGGTAATATTGTGGCCTCATCAGTTGTTATGCAAGTTCACTTCAGCTTTTGAGGTGACTTGCAGTGCGCACAAGCATTGGAAAGTTTCTGATCCACTGATGCGGCACAAGTTGCGCGAAGCAATCTCTCACAAGGTTCTCCCATCATTGTACCGAATGCATGTGGAGTGTGACTCAGAGAAGATGAACAAGTCTGCGAGGTACAGCATCGAGCAAATAGAGTCTCAGCTGCTGGAATTGTTTGAGGGGTGAAGCAATTGATAATGCTTAAATTAAGGAATTTTGGATGCTGATGCATGTTCGAATATTTGGTTTTTCGGGTTTAGTTTAATCCAGAGATTATGTACATAAATAGGTAAACTTGGTTAGGTAGCAGAATCACATGGCACGAGCATAAACTGGACATGGATATCACATCACTACACATGAATCAATCTAGCTACTATACTTTGATAACAGAAACAATAGAGGATTAGACATGAGCAATAATGTAGACATGCAGGAAACCAATCTACACATAAATATGTCTACTATGCTTGATAATAATAATAACAAAAACAAATGAGGATTAAACACAAGCAGTCCAGACATGCATCAAACGAATCGGCATATCAATAAATCTACTATGCTCGATGACAGGAATAAAGGGATGAAAACCGACAGAAACAGGCGAAAAAAGTCCTCTCCGGTTTCTGTTTCTATATTTTTAGCGAAAACGGGATCGGGTTCGGAGAAAAAAAACGGAATTAAAATTGGATGGGGATATACAGAAATAAGGAAACACACAAAGACGGACAAAGAACCGAAAAAATAAATTAGAATAACATGATCAAATTTTTCGAGTATACATGAACAAGGTCAAAAAATAGTATACATGTACGAAGTTATCGGTCCAATATTCACTAGCATGCCATGTGTTAATATGTTAACATGCATAATTTGTGATTAGTAGGTTTATGAACATAACAATTTCTAGACATATCTCACATAGATTGAAAATGGGATGAAAAAATTGAATAAATACGGGTCAATTCCGGATAAAAACTGAATTCCACGGAGACGGGCGGAAAAACCCCTCTCCCGTTTCCGTAAACACGAAAACGGGATCCCACAAATATGGAAACAGGCAGAACAAAATAGAAAACGGGGGATTTTTCCGTCCGTTCTCAGCCACTACCACCATGCCCCGCTGACGACGGCCACGTTGATCCCAACACTAGAAGAATTTTGGTTGTTTCTCCATCCTAGATCTTTTTGTACCACTACACACTCACTTGTGACTTAAGGTTTTTTCCTTTAATTAATCCAGACTCCAAAGAGTTAAAAGAAGTCTATAAGGGACCGTGACGCCTAAGAGGAGGAGTGAATTAGACAACTTAAAACTCTAACTCTAAACTATGGCCTCTTTTTCAATCCTTAATAAAAACCTATGCAAAAGATAAACTATCTAAATGTGCAACTACGGTTTTGCTAGTGTGTTGCTATCTCTACCGCAAAAAAGAGCTATGCAACCTAGGTTCCAAAATTATCAACTAGCCTATCACTAAGCTAGAAAAATAAAGCACAAACCAAGATTGCAATATAAATGTGAAAGCTAAAGAGTAAGGTAGAGATATGCAAACTCCCGTCGACGACTCCAGTATTTTTACCGAGCTATCAAGAAGAGCGCAAGCTTCCCCCTAATCCTCGTTGGAGCCCCTCGTAAGGAATCCCTCACAAGGGCCAAGCTCCCGGTCGGGTAACTCCATGGATAGCCCCGGGCCTTCCCCACGCGCAAGTGGGTCTCCGGTGTGCCTTCCGGCAAGCCTCTCCCGAACCGCTCCTCGTCATCTTCACTATCAAGCTTCTTACCGAAACGCCATGGGCCTTTTTTCCTCTGGTACACGGTGGCGGCCACACCACAAATGCGGTTGGTGTAATCTCGCAAGACTACAAGCCCCTCCGATGTACAACAATGGTGCGCACAAGCACCGAGTGGTAAGAGGTATCCAAACTTCACTAAACACTAGGCCTAAACCTAGAGCAAGCGCATAAGCGGTGGTCTAATCAACCTAAGCACTTCACAAAGCACCTATACTAATCACCTAATGAATCACTAAGCACTATACAAATGGAGATCACTAAAATGGTGTATCAACACCTTTGGTATGTTTCCTCAGTTCCCCTATACTCAAATGGCTGGTTTGGGGGGCTATTTATAAGCCACGTAGAGAAAGTAGTCGTTGAGGGTGAAACCCAGCTTTCTACTACTGACCGGACGCTGCTATCGTCCTGACCGGATGCCTCTGGCCATCCCGACCATTGAGCACGCGCGTAGAGATCGGACGCACTGCCAAGTCCGGTCATCATCAACCGGACGCGTCTGGTCATATTTACGCCACACTAGAACCTCTCTAGACATGATCGGACGCTGCACTTTGTGCGTCCGGTCATCCAGTGTCGTTGTGTCCGGTCCTCACTGAGTTGTTGCCGTAATGATGAACGGTGAAGTCCATGCATCTGATCACGGCCTCGCTCAGCGTCCGATCATAGCTGCTGACCCCTGCTTTTGCTGAGCAACTGATCGGACGCGTTCGGTCCTCATAGGGCCGCGTCCGGTCACCTCTGTGGAGCTCGTTTCTTCGCGATCTTACATCCGGCTTGGTTACCATCTTCGTGCTAGGACTATGCTTGATATCATGGGTCTTCTCTTGTGCTTCTAGGGTCTTGCTTATGGTATTGATCGTGGGATCATCATGTCGCCTTCATCCAAGTCACGTCTTACACCCTATTGAACTACAAAACAATTACTTACAAATTCATTAGTCCAATTTGGTTGTGTTGGTCATCAAACACCAAAATTCAAAGTAAATGGACCTAGGGTCCATTTTTCTTACAATCTCTCGCTTTTTGGTGATTGATGACAACACGACCAAAACAAGCAAATAATAAAAATTTTGGAATTTAAAAACTATTTACTTGCTAAGATGCAATGTAAAGGGTAAGGTTATATGATGCTAAAACATACCACATGCAAACATCTTTGAAAACTTATCTTACCCTTGCAAATGTCCCCATGTGGTATTATAGATTTAAGCCTCCCCCTAACTTCATAATCCACTATCCTCCCTTTCTCGGACCATTATCACTTGTAAATTATTATGATCGGGCTTGCTTTTGGTCCTACAAATTCTCCCCCTTTGGAATTAAACACCGAAAAGGAAGACATTAGTAGCACAAGGAAGAGTCAAACTTTGTGATCCTTTGTATGTGGAGTGGAATAGGTCATAAAATTTGACTCTCACATTACATAGACTAAGCTCCCCCTAAATATATGCATACATATGATGGAGAATGTAGTTTATGCATAATTAGCAAATTAATGCTCAAGGAAGTTTAATCTATATAATGCATGGAGAAAGCATATAAATACCAAAGTGAAAATGTAACACCCTAAAATTTGTATGATTTTCAAAATAGGAGAAAATGATTTAATTATGCATTTTGTGAGCATTTAAATTTAGGAAAATAATAACTTTGTTAAAAACAAAATCAAATATAGGTCTACATACATGTATGTGCATACATGCTGCGGCATATTTTATTTGTGATGCTTTGGTTTGATTGGAATTTGCAAAAGAATTTGAATTTGAGTTTAAATTGGATTTGAAAATGTGTTAAGAAAATGGAAAATGATTGTATTCTTCCCTTCTCAGATTTTGGCCCGCCGTAGCCCAGCTCGGCCTGTTTTTCCACGCGGCCTACTCTCCCTCCCGCTCTTGGGCCATCTGCTCTCCTTGCTTCCTCGCGCGGCCCACCAAAGCAAGCCAACAGGCCGGCCCGCATCGCCCGCGCCGTCCTTCTCCCACGTCGTGTGACGCTGACGGCTCGGCCCCACTTGTCAACGTCGTCTTCCTCCTCGCGCGTGACCAGGTCGGACACTGCCGCCGCCAAAACTCCGCGTCGCTCTCACCTCGTCTGTTGTCGTGCCGCCCATGTCTTCCCGCTCCATAAAAGTCGAAGCTCGCATCGTGCTACCCTCATCTAGCCGCCTTGGAGCCGCAACCATCTCGCCGAATTACTGTGTCACCGTGAAACCTAGCGCCACCGTGCTCGCTGTCGCCATCCCGTGCGGCGCGTCGTCCTTGGTCTGGTCCCGCCCCTGTTTTTGGCTTTGGTGAGTTCGCCCTCCCTTTCTCTCTCTCTCTCTCTCTCTCTCTTGGTGTCCTCGCTTTGTGCTGTTGTGGACCGTAGACTGGAAATCGAGAACTCCGGCGAGTTCTCTTTGCCCGGCCATGGTGCCGCCGCCATTCAACTCGCCGCCGGCCACCCGTCCCCTCCCGATCTATTCAGCACGGTCCGTTTAAGATCCAACGGTCTAGATCTTAAGATGCCTATTCGCCTGTCGTTTTACAAAAAGGCCTTTATAATTATTTGGATCTCAACCCGCCGTCCCCACATTCTTTCAAAAGAGCCCCTATATTTCTTTGTTTTCATGCCCGCAGTCCCTGGTTCAGTTTCAAATCTGATTTTAATTATTTTAAATTTGGAAATTGAGTTTCATTTGTTTATAAAACTACCACTACCTTCTTTAGGCCATAAAATCTCTGTTTTAACTTTGATTTGATCTGTTTAACTTGCGTTAGGTTCATAATTGAGTAATCTACATGTTCATCCTATTGTTAGGTATGTTTTTAACTTTTAAAATTAGAGGTTAGATTTAATCTATTATTTCATTAAAGGAAATCTTGTTTAATTCGTAACTTTTTCGTTTTAACTCTGATTTTCGTGATCTTCACGTGTGTGTGTTCGTAGTGAGACGTAGATTTGTTTTACAAACTTTTCATCTTAATTTTATGCTGATTGGTGTACTGTTCTAATCTATAACTTTTGTTTGCTATGCATGATTGCATCTGGATGCTTATATGTTGTTGTGATTATCGAGCATAGACGGTGAGCAATTCGTGGGTGATCAAGAGTACTACTTTGACGAGCAGGATCAGCAGGAGTACTTTGTTCAAGGCAAGTATAGCATGGGATCATCCTTGTTTCCTATCAATTTTAATATGTTTAATTCATGATTGCATGTGTCACCTTGATAAGGATTTCCTAGAATTGAACTTATACCTTGTCTCCTATGGGATATGCATTGGGTAGCTTTGCTAGTGCTCAATTAAACCATGATCTTGTAACTTGACTAATGGTATATGCAATAAACGTTAAAACATGATTTTTTAGCAACTTGGAAGCAGGGGGCTAGAGTATTTAGCTAC